ACATTTGAAATACCTTGCCCTAATGAGAAAATGATACATTTTTAATTTGAATATTAACTATTAGTCAACAAAACTTACGAAACAAACCAAGTATCAAAACTGTATGCTTTTAAAATCATTACAGCCAAAATACATGCTATTGTGACTCTATATAACTAATCTTTGAGTGTATCCTCACCAAAGAAAAAAAAAGGACTCATTATCACCAAAGAATAGTTTTATACTAACAATTCCTAGATATCAACCTTAATGAGATAATGCTGAAAATTCTGGTGGCATTATAAATCAGCCCATCAACACTAATGCATCCTCAAACTATATAAAGCCCTTGAGTGAACATGGAAGAGGAATTATTAAAGTCAGTTTAACACTGATCTATAGCAAAATACACATAAAATTAATAAAATGACTAATGGACCTTACCTACTGTAGCTACTGTAGCTGAGGCTGAGGAGAGTAAGGACTTGCCCCAACTGCCCCAGTAGCCCCATCCAGTCTGGGGTACATCTTTGGAAACAGACTCCTATTTTTCACAGTAGACAGAAAAACAAAAGGCAAAGGAAAATGAAAAAATTAGAGGAGAATAAGAGTATACAAACAAGATATCTAATTATTAGTTAAAAGTATGAGTAAATAAATACATATCACTTGGCTAAAGAAATGTATTGCTTGACTGACAGACAGATGTATGTTACCCACATGCAAGCACCACATAGCAAAGGCAGCCATTCATAAAGCCGCGAAGGCAGCCACTCATACAGCCATTTACAGAACTGAGAAAATTGTGTTTTATGGCTGTAGAAGGAAAAAATAGGTACAACCCTAAAAGTGGTATTGTTCCCCAATTCTGTTTAACTCTGGACATTTTCTTAATACCAATGTTTTAAGAGATACTCTACTTTGCCTACAGCCTGTGAAGCCTGGACAGGGAGAACTTCTAAAGTCTCAAGGTCACTGGAAGGTTTGGATTCTGGTCTTTTCCGAGTGGAAGCCACAGGCTCTGATTTACTCTTTGGCTTGGTACTTTGGTCAAAAGACTCAGAATTCTCAGCTGGCTCATATTTCCCATCTCCATGGGTGAAGGTTGCTTTGGTTATCACTGGAGTCTCAATGTCATCCTTATCTGGAGTCTCAATGTCATCCTTATCTGCCATGATTAGATCATCACCTGGTTAAAATAAAATCCCAAGAAAAAAATTAATTACATAGGCTTTTTGGGCATCAGTTTTTTGTTTTTTTTTTTTATTTTGAGACTATCATATATTCACAAGCAGATCAAAGAAAGATTTTATATACCTTTCACCCAGTTTTCCCCAGTAGTAACAATCTATATACTATAACATCACAACCAGAAAATTAATAGATGCAATCCACTGAACTTAGTCAGTTTTTACCAGTTTTACATGCACTCATATTGTGTGTATTTACTTCTATGAAATTTTATCATATATATAGATTTGTGTGACCATCACCACACTCAGGATACAGAACAACTCAAAGGATCTCCTGTGTTATCTTTTTTTAGCTATGTCCCACCCTTTTCCCAACCCACAGTAACCATTGGCCTGTTCTCCATCTTTATAATTCTGTCATTTCAAGATGTTATGTAAATGTTATCATACAGTACATACCCTTTTGATATCAACTTTTTTCACTTAGCATAGTCCCTCAAGATCCATCCAAGCTGTTGTGTACATCAATAAACAGCTTCTTCCTTTTTATGGATGAGTAGCATTCCTTGGTATGGATGCTGTCTCAATCTGTTTAAACACTTACCTGTTGAAGGATACCTGGGCTGATCCCAATTTGGGACTATTGCGAATCAAACAGCTATGAACATTCATATACAGGTTTTTGTGGGAACATGAGCTTTCATTTCTCTGGAATAAATGACCAAGAGTGAAATCACTGGGTCATAAGTTAAGTATTTGCTTAGTTTTTCATGAATGTGTACTACCAGTAATATATGATCAATTTCTCTCCATTCTCACCAGCATTTGGTGGTACTGTTATTTTTCTGTTTGAGTCATTCTGATAGGTGTATAATGATAATCAAGCAATGGCTTTAAGTTGTAGTTCTTTAATGCCTAATGATACTGAACATCTTTTCATGTGCTTATTTGTTATATTTTTATCTTAAGTGAAATACCTATTTGTATTTTTTGCTGATTTTCTAGTTAATTTTTTTACCGTTGAATTTTAAGCATTCTTTATATATTCTAAATTCATGTGGGTTTACAAATATTTTATCCCAGTCTGTAGCTTATCTTTTCATCTTCTTCATAGGATCTTACAAAGCAAAAGTTTTTTAATTTCACTGAGGTCCAATTTATATCAATTTTTCCTTTTATGGACTATCATTAAAATTTTTGAGTCTTTATATGAAATAATCATAAGGTTATATATCAATGATACTTTAAGAAAAAAAATGAAGTCATTAGCCATTTCTATCTCAGTTTCTCAGAGAGGAGATTATGAAATTTAAGCCTTCAGGTAGGATATACATCAGACCAGCTTTTGTACAGCAATTCAAAAAAAAACAATTCAATTCCTCCCTGAAGTACAGCCCTTTGGCAATTAAAGCCAAGACACTATTGGTATTTTTACAAAAAGTAGATGCTGGTTTTCAAGATAACCAAATTATTACCTGGAGAGAAATGAATGTATCCCACACATCCATACATATCCATACACCAAGACCTTAGTATATATACTTCATACCAATATGTGCTAAGTGCAGAATCAGACCCAATCTATGTCTTCAAAATGTTTTCTAACATACTGGCAAAAAGAGACATTAACAACTAAGGCAGCTTGGAAGCAGCACTATAATTGAGGTATACACAAAATGCTAAAAGAACAGAGAGGTAGAACTCTGCTACAATCAGGGAATAAATTCATGCACATAATATCTGAAATAAGCATAATGGTCAAAAAGTGGGAATAAGCACCAAATGAAGCCTACAGATGCTTTTATTTGGCCTGCACAGTCTTTAAAAACTTGTTTTATATTAACTGCTAACACTTAAAAATCAGACTTTGCATATAAATAGAGATTTTCAACTTCCATTGTAAAATTTAAAGAAGTGGCAACACTGTGCTGACATGATTTGGTAGTAAGTAGCTCAGACCAAATGGTTGCTAAGCCTTTTTAGACAGGGTTTTACTCTCTAGTTCCCTACAATCTCCACCCAAATCCAACTGATTTATTTATGTTACCAAATTAGCCCCTGCAGGCATCTGAACATGCAACACCTGATTTAAAGGGCACTTAGGATTCTGACAGATGAAGATACCAATGACAGAATTCAACGGTGTGGAAACAAACAGGCAAAAGCTCACGGCCTGAAGTCTGACAATACGGTATGGACAGACATAAGTAGTATAGAGGGAGGAGTATGGTGGGAAGAAGATACAAGGCTAGAAAGGTATATTATACAGTAACATGGATACCAGATCATATGAGTACATGATATACATACATTATACATTCCCAAAACACATAGATAAAAAAAAAATCCAGATACAACTACCCAAAGACCCACAAACCAACTCTGAAATAATTATTCCTTCTCTTGCAAACATTTTTTGGTCACCTACAATATACCAAGCTCTGGAGATTAAGAACTAATTTAAGATACAATTGGTTGCCCCACTTACTCCAAGGGCCTAATAGGAAAGACTACACCGTTCTTGCACAAAGTTCAATCAGTTTTGTGTAGTTCAATAAATATGTACTTATTTTACACTTATTTCACTGTCCATATGCTCTATGCACTCTCCAAGTTACAATACATAATAAATATATATCTTACATGCTGTATATCATGCATAACATAATGTACACATTACATTAATTATTCATAAAATTTCATAAGACTGGAAGGACATACTCCAAAACGTTAAACACTTGCTGTGTTCTTTCATTTGTGCAAAGATTTCATAAGTATCTAAAATGTGCTAGAAATTTGAACTAGGTGAGAAGAGAATTTTTTGCGGTGGTGACTGTATCATCTTAACCATCATTATCATTCCTTTTGTTATCAGAATGGCTGTACCGTCCTCTTCTCAAAGGATTCATAATCTAGCAGAAAAGGACAATAAATAAATAAATAAATATCAGATACCTGGGATTGTACTGCTAAATGTTTTTGCAAATTTTCCATGTGTTCTTTAGTATTATTTTCATAATTAGAGTAGAAAGATTCCAAGAACCGGATCATTATAAATACAGCTGAACGGCTGAGTCATATATTTTTTTTAAATAAAAAAGTATGTATATAAACAGCTCCATATTCTATGGGAACTTCCAGCCACGGCGTTACCAATGTGGAAGGCGGTGTAGCTGAGCAGCTAAGAGCACTGGTTCTAGAGTTAGACTTTCTTCCAACTTTCTGCCGCATTAACTGTGCGGGGGTTTGTTCACCTACCTGCGTCTCCCTTTTCTCATCTGTAACATGGGAGTAGTAATACCTCTATGAAGACTCAACGATACGATGTTTGTGGTAAGGGCCTTGGAACACAGACCGGAACATAACGTCGCACAGGTAACTGTTAGTGCTTGTGGTGGTGGTTTGTCATTACTATCATTATTAACAGGTCCCCAGACGGACAAACACACGGCCCTCACTTACGCCCACGTGCAGGAATACATCCCAAACGAGACATACGGTGTAAACATCCGCTCCTAAATTCTCCGACGCTGACAACGACCACAAGTCCTCACACAAACATAAAATTTCAATAACCAAAGCGCTTTCACAGCCTCCGCGTCCGGCCCCGAGGGATAGACCGCCCAGCCCCAAGTTACCTCCTTCCCCTCCCCAGCGACCTGGTCTGCCGAGCGGGGCCCCACGACCTCGCACGCCGCCAGCTTCCTCCTGGGAAGCTTCGCTACCGGCCCGCCGCCAACCTCACCGTCCCCACAGCCACCGACGAGCCTCTTTTCTGCCCCGGAAGTACTTCCTCAGTGTGTGTGGCACCTCCCCCCCTCCCCCGCCCCGACGGAGAGTACTTCTGGGTGAAGCCGCCGCTTAGGCCGGAAGGAGCTCGGCGCCGGTCCGGTGAGTAAGGGCTCCGTTGGGGTTGCTGCGAGGGAGGTTCTGGGGTGGCAGAGGCAGGGGTTCGAGCCGGTGGGTTGAGGTCCGACGTAAAGGAAGCTAGGATGTCTGTAGGCCTTTGGAAAGCCCGGCCTGGGCTGCAGGAGTTCGTCCATCCTACGTTTACTGAGCACCAGTTACCTGCCAGCCACTACCCTGGGCGCCTGGGACATACGAATTACAAACCCACTATGCATTGCTCTCAAGTAATTGATACTCTAGTGGGGTCTTGAACAAATTATCAAGCAAACACGATTATCTAAGAAGGTAGTGAGTGCTTTAGGGAAAATTAACCAGGGTAATTGTGACAACGAAATGAGGAAGTAAGCCTTATGAAAATTTGGAGAAAAGCGTTCGAGACCGAAAGAATAGCAAGTGCAAAGACCTTGCTTAAAACGGGAACAAACTTAGTAATGGCAATCAAAACAAAAAAGGCTGGTGTGAATAGAACAAAAAGAGGAAGATGAGGTCAGAGACTTAAGGGCCAAATCTTGCAGGGTCTAAGAGTCATGACAAGGTTTGACTTTTATTTGGAAAGCAATGGAAAACGATTGAAGGTTTCTAATCAGAAGAGTAACATGCTCTGATTTATGACTTTAAAATTACTGCTGACCCCTCATCAGAAAGATATTATCATTCATGTTTGCGTTGAGCAATGAGAATCCATGAAACCCAGACTGGCAAGCAGAAAGGTCTTAGAGACACGCTCATTGTAAAGATGTGAGAAACTAAGTCCAAGAGAGGTGAAGGGACTTGGCCTTTTAAGAACTGAAGTCTCCCAAATCCGTTTAATACCTTAAGAATTATCATCTTAATATCCATATATAAAAATGGGCACTTCCTAAAACCCTTCAGATTAGTTTGCTTTCGATGGCGGTTCTCTAAATTTAGGAGCATCAGTATCACCAGGAAGCTTATTAAAATGCCTGCTCCAAAAAACCATAAGTATAAAATAGGTAATTTTCTCTGATTTTTCTGTTGAAATTGAAAGTGCATAAATTTAGGGGTTAAGTATAGAATCTCAGTAAGCCACTTAACTGTGTCTTATCTTTAAAATGCTGCTGATAATAAAGCAGCAGTTCTCAAACCTTTTGATGTTAGGATCCAATTACACTTTTAAAACTTACTGAGAACATCAAAAAAAAGGTTTTTGTTTGGGTTATATCTAACAATATTTACCATTTTAGATATCAAAACAACTTTCAAATAAGTTAACTTATTAAAAATGATAAATTCATTACAAATTAACATAAACAACATTTCCATGAAGAATATTTTCTAAAACAAAAAGTTATTAAAAATGGCATTGTTTTAACATTTTTACAAGGCTCTTTAATATCTAGCTTGATAGAAGACAGCCAGATTCTCCTATCTCCTTCTGCATTCATTCTCCTGTGATATCATTCATCATGTAGTTCCTGGAAAATTGCACCATGTTGTGTGAGAATGAGAGTGAAAAAGCAAATAATGTCCTAGTATTATTATGAAAATTATTTTAAAGGATAAGAATCTCAGGTATCCCCCCGCCCCCTGCCGCCTCGCCCAACCCCTGTGCCACACTGAGAATTGCTAAATTACAATTCTGTTATGACAATTGAAAGAAATAAGGGCTTGATATGTAAGTCATTAAAATTACATGCACATGAAAATTGTAGATGCCCTGGCCTCACCCTTAGAGATAGCAAATCAGTAAGCCAGAGTGGGGCCAATATATCTGCATTTTGACAGTCACCACGGATTAATTTGATGTACACTCTGAGAAAACTAGCTATAGATCAAATTCACTCTATACAGTGTTTTGCCCACTTTAAAAACACTGTATAGTGTTTTTAGAAAGAAAAAAAGTGTTTAAAGAAAGAAAAAAAAATGCTGTTTCCATATCTTCAAATATCTCAACAGTTTACAGAGTCTAGGACTCTGGAGAGTCAGTTCAAGCTTTGTAGCGGGTACTATTCCAACCACCCTGTTGATGAGTGTCTGAATTCAAAATATTGAATCCAGTCTTAGTCAAGGACTGAGAGAGTGTTTAGATCCTATCATCTAATCTTACAGTCCTTTGGCAAATATATAACTGATAGAAGAGGCAACTGATTGCTCACAGTCGAGTACTCTCAGTGTGCAAGGGGACTGACAGCAAAAGAAATTTACCCAAAATTAAGAGGGCACAGGTGAGAGTTTAGATGAGGCTTCTTAAATAAGTAAAATTTCAGTTGGAGTTGTAGAGAGGGTGGAATTTCCACAGGAAGATGGTGGGGGAGGGGCAGGATGTTTCAAGCAAAAGGAACAATGAGAACCAAAACTTTAAAGTGAAAAGGTGAAATAGAGAACAAAACAAGTGTAGTTAGGGCTTTAAGCCATGACGGAAACTGGGAAGAGCATAGTCTTTAAGCAGAGAAAGGAATGCTAGTAACAGTCAGCCTCTAGATGATGGCACTAAGACCACCAGAGATGATAGCTAGTTAGTGATAAAGGTGTAACTGAACACCAGACTTCTAAACTCATTTATTCCTTCGGCAAGCAATCATTGTGCATACAGGCAGTGCTGGACTCTGTCCAGCTACTTCTGTTCTGCCATGTGAATCTATTCCTGGAAAACTAGGGATATCAGGCCAGAATTTGAAGCTTAATCTCATGAACAATGGAAAATCAACAATGGCCTTTAAAGTTACCTTCACTTTCTTGGATTTGTGTTCAAGACCAATTCTGAGAGGAACAGTGTTGGGACATCAAAGGGGCATGGTTAGAGTTAAGAAGGAGACTCATAGAAATTTAAAGGATAGTGTTGTACCCAGGTAAGGTAGAAGGACTGGTACCTAGGGCAGGGATAGTAGGACTCAATTGAAAAACACCTAAGAGGCAGAATAATAATAGCAATAGCGTGTATTTATAATGTACTCACATTAGTTCAACTTATGCTCACAACTACCCTATGAGATCATTACTGTAATAACCTTACCCAAGAGATGTGAAAACTAAGGCTCACGAGCCCATGGCTTCACCCAGGGATAGGATCAGGCATTGTAGCTCAACTCTGTATACTCCTCACCATGGTGCCATGAAGATCTCAAAACTTTGGTCTTGCAAAACTGTAAGAATTGTATTATGTGGCTATTTTTCAAGCTATGTATAATATGCTGCACAGGTAGATCTAAGGGTGAGAGTAAGGAGCTCTGTTCTAGTTATACTGAGTTCGAGGTATTTTTAGACTATAGAGGGGAAAAAAATTGGGCAAGGAGATTATGAATCTAAGCCTGTTGCATTGATGTCTTGGTTATTTGCATCCAGTAGCTTCAGCAAATGATTATGGCAAAAAGGGTAAAAGTCACAGATATAACAATCCTGAATTTAGAGCAAAGCTCCAATAAAATCAGGTGTTTTTCAGTGTGCCAGAAAATATGTTGAAGTTTGATCAGAGTGCCCAAATGCCAGTTATGAGGTGTGTGATGGCTTCAAAATACTTTTGGGGACACAGGAGCTTTTTTAACTAGAAACTTTTCACAAAATAGCTCTCAAAATGATGATTTCTGTTTGAATACTACTAACCTTCTTTATGTTTAAGATCCCTATAATAATGCTTGAGTTTAGGCAAAACAGCTTTCTGTTTGTTCTTTGAAAAGGATAGAGGAGTGCTAACAATCTGCTCTTTATTTGCATTTTCTTCCCCTTGCCAATTTAACGGCACTTTGACCATTTGTGTGCCCACTGTGGGGGAACTTCATTTTTCAAGTATAACAGTGCTGGCAGAGAGTGGATGAGCTGTAAATACAGCCAAGAACACATTTGATTATGGAGAAAGAAGCATTAATATTGCAGTATAGTTGGAGCAAAAATCAATACCATCTGGGCATCAGTGTTTCTCCCCCCACCAACTTTGAATTATCCCAGAACTATTTCTGCAAACGGCAGTTTCCTCAACCAACTTAATATGGAGCTATGAGAATGGAAATCAGCCACATTACTTCCTTATTTACTTCTGTAAGTCAAGAACAGAATTGGAACAGACTGGAGATAAATCTTCTCTTAGAAATTGGCAGGAAGAGCAACAAGACAATCTGGTAGGGATGATAGCTTAAGTCCTTTCATGTCTTTCTTTTCTTTTTTTTTATTTTAATGGTACAGCCAATATTCAGAATGGTTCTTCAGGGTAGTATTATCTACACTTCTGATTATTCATGATCCTAGAAAAGCTTACACTTTACTTAAAAAATGAAAAAGGAATTGGATTAAACTTGAACATCACACTTTTCTGTTATCTTTATTAATGCTGAAAGAGAAGTAATGACAAATTCTACCAAGTAACTTCACCCACAGCAAAGCATAGCCCTTTTTACTTTTCTGTTATCTTTATTAATGCTGAAAGAGAAGTAATAACAAATTCTACCAAGTAACTTCACCCACAGCAAAGCATAGCCCTTTTTAACTGTTTATAGAAAGTTGGCACTTTGATTTTCCTTTATGAATGCTTTCTTCTTAGCCTTCAAATGTCAGCTGCTGCATTGAGGATAGCAGGAATGATATTATGGGAAGTCCCAATCTTAGAGGTGAATTGCATTCCTAAAATTCATGAAGTCCTTTCTCTTTTGCATTCACAGCACAATGATACTTCTTTTCAGTACTTCTCATACTGTCTTGCATATAGTTGGCTGTTTCTGTCCCTACCTTCTATGTTAGTGTATAAATTCCTGAGGGTCTGGAAAAATATCCTCATTAATCTGAGCATCCCTTGCAGCACCCAGTACTTTATCTTGCACACAATTTAGCTGAGCTGCTTTAAAATCATTACTCCAGAATGAGTAAAATGGTCATAGTCAATGTAGTTTTTGTTGAAAGTAGCAGAAACCAATTCATGCTTACTTAACTAAAAAGAAAGTGAGTGTGAGGAGATAATTCAAGAGGTATCCTGATTTCAAGGGTGGTTTGTTCCCTCAGACCCCTACTTCTGTCACCATCCTGGACCCGTATCTTTGCCAGTGTTTCCTCTCCCAGCTGCTCTACAGCCTTTTATCTGCAAATGGGTTGTGTCTCTTAGCAGCTCAGATTAGAAGTCCTTTGTGTTCCAGATGCCCAAGGTATGAGTATGAAGTTCCCAGGCTGAGCCTCCCTTTATTGACTGGACATAAAAGCATATTATGGGATCTACTGCTCCCCTGCATAAAGTCTCTGTACACAAGCTTCTGTGCCACCTTTGACCTATGTGCAATTTAAGGATGTTCATGGTACTTTTCTAGATCCTGCCTTGTAGGGCTCTCTAAACTTTTAGTAGAGGCAGATGGTTGTGTCTGTACAGAGCAGGGATTGCAGGTCTTGGCCACATGGGCATTTTGTGTGCCACACCCCAGTGTGTAAGAAGCGGAGTTGGATGGGGATGGCAAAATAAGAAATGATGTGCTATTAGAAAAAAGTGGAGTTGTGAGTGATTTGTTTGTTTGTTTGTTTTCCCTACAAAGAGCAGGGCTCCAGCTCAGATCCTTTAGCAGATGACAGTATCTCTGAAGTTAATAACATGGATTTATTTTCAGTGTGTACAGTACTTTTATCCACAGATATCATACAACCTTTCTTCTACAATGTATAAAAGGAAAATAGTTTGATCTAAGGAAAAAGTATAAATAATAATTTGGTACACAGACACAGCAAAAAAAAAATCCTAACAATAGAAGAAATTAATGAAATCTGGAAAATGCTGACTTGGATGGAGCCTCAGGAACTCACATTATTTAAGTCCTGGAGAAAACCTGGAGCACTTTTTCAGTACACTCATTTCCTGTCACCATTGAGAATGCCCTAGTCTAGAATAAAGGATAAAAGTCATATCCACCAATTGTTACCTATCTTGTAGTGAAAAAGAACTTGGGAGTTCACACATGTCAAGCCTCTAGCTGGTTTAAGGCATTCGTTTAATGTTATTTCCATTGTTTCTACTCACCACTCCCTCCTAACAGAGACGAGGATTCTCCTAATTTATAATCCAAGGGAGCAAGTCAGTGTGAAGTGAGTGGGTTAGATCAGATTATTTCTAAAATCCCCTCAGATATGCAAGTTCTTTGTTTCTTTTAGTGTCATTTTACTGGGGTTTGGGAAGGAATGAAAGTAAATACATGTTCAGTCTATTATGTTTAGCAAAATCCGAAGTTCTTTGTTTTAGTCTAAGTAGTCTATCCTTAAACTTTAAAGCTATAAAAAGATACAGAAAATTATCATTTACCATCCTTTCAGTGGCTAACAAAAATTAAATGACATTTACAATTTATTTTAATTCATACTTTGAGTACTTTGATGGCAAAATATGATGATCCATTGCTTTTTATGTTGTATTATGAAGCAGCTTTCATGTAACTGTAAAGGGCAGTAAACGTCATTTCAAAAACTAATTATTTTGAGCCTTTATAAGAAATAGAACTAGGTGTTTCATCTCATCTTTTATAGAAATAGAAGTTGAAAATTTTGAGAGTCAGTGATTTATAAGAGGAATCAATTTACCAAGAAGATGATCATAATCACATAGACTTTTAGATTGGGATCTTATTTTGCTCTTTATTGATGATATTTGTCAGGCGGTCTTTCCCTGTAGTTTATATTTGCATTTCTATCAACTAGATGTTTAAATTGTCAGTTCCTCCCTTAGCTAATTTTTTACATACTTTGAGTTAGAAACTTGGTAGTCACACAGACTGTTAAATATACTATATTCTCTTGATATTAAAGAAACTATTAAAGGAAAATTCTTCTGTCTAATATTATTGCCCAAGTGAGTAGCCTCAGAAGTGAGTAATTGCATATTTGTAGCAGTGCAATTTTCTTTCTAATATTAAAACAGAAAAACAAACTTATGTGTCCTTGCATTATTTATATCTAATATATTATATACTTGAATTACTAAAAGTTTGAGTTCCATGGTAATGATTATGAGGTACCATTTGATTTACATTATTGATATAAGAACAGATGGTAATAGTGTAGGTTGAAATAAAAGATCAGTAAGCAAAATATTTTAGCCTTCATTGTCTCCCTGTTGCATAGAAGTTGTCACAGTGAAATAGAATCACAGCATTTCAGAACTTGGAGAGCCTTTAGAGGTGCTCTCATCCAGTTCTTCATTTGACAGATAAGAAAACAATCCCAAAGGGAATGCTGCTTATCCAGATCAGTATAGCTTGATAGCAAAGCTAGCACCAGAATCTAGGTCTGCCATTTCCCAACTCATTGTCTTTCTACTGTCTGTATGTGAGATTTTTAGGCTATATTCTATTTCACTCCCTGACGTCAGTGCCAGTTATTCTAATCAATTTCATATATATTCATTTCTAGAACATAGAGTGTCACCTGTCATGAGTATTGGTCAAACTTTTTTATTATCTGGCTTTCTTTTAGGTTGGCCTCCACTAACATCTTTTAATCTTGAAGACTTCAAAATACCTGGATCTGCCACTTTTTTGGAAAACTCAAATACCAAGCAATAAATTAGCCACTGTGCTGTTGTTATACTTTAGAAGCTCTTCAGTTCTCCAAATCTAAACAAGATTTTTCTTGCATTTTCCCATGAAGCCACAGTGTTGTTTATTCACTTTAGTGGTGAGCGTTACTGTGCCGGTGGCTTTTGTTTGGGAAGATGTAGGCTTCAACCGAATGGCCCCACTGGGAACAAATCATAGTTCTTTCAATGCATCATTTCCTCCAGGCTTTGAACTCTCAGCAGGTTCTCACTCAGGTGATGATGTCATCATAGCCAAAGAAGGAACAAGTGTTTCGATTGAGTGTCTTCTCACAGTCAACCACTATGAAGATGTCAATTGGTACAACTCGAAAGGACAGCAACTGGATGACAGAGGCAGAGGTAATTGTGCCAGGGTATAATTAATCAAGGTTACTCATTTCCTGTCATTTCTGTCTTACTGGGTTTATGGCATATTCAACAAGAAATTTCAACAATGAGATTCCAGGGTAAATAGTTAAAAACTTTTGAAAGGCCTGGAGCATTATACCTATCAAAAAGCAATAATTATAATTATTTAACCAAAAGAAGAAAAAAATAACTAGGAACTTGAAAGGTGCTCACATGATGATAATGAACAATTTTTTTCCTTCTGGTGAGCTGTTAAAGGTAGACTACTTCAGGGTTGCTGCATACAGCCATGTAGGCTGTGCACTACACAACTCCAGGGGCACTCAGCATTCCACTAGACTGTAATATGAAGAGTGCGGGATGGAGGCCCTGCGAGAATACAGCAGGAAGGGTTTTGGCTAGACTGAAGTAAACTTGTCATACATTAAAAAAAATGTTGCTTGGAAATGAGTTACAAAAAAGGTTAGTGTTTTAAAATGATTATAGATCTGTGCAGAAAACTTAAAGTCCATCTGAGAATTAGAAGGGCTCTGAAGAGGAGAGCTATAAGCCCTTACAGCTCAATTTTTTTTTTATTCTATACCTTAATTTACTTGAACAGGAGAGTTTCTCTTGTATTTTTTTTTGTCTCTCAGTCTTAAAAATCACACAAACATAATAATAATGTGAGCAGAGTCTCCTTTTTGAGAGGTTTTTATTCAATTTTGCTATTTGTAGACCTGTGAAGACTATTTCCTTAACTAGTGTTCTGCAAGAAAGATCTTTTTGAAGACTGCTTGTGTTAAAGCACCTCAAAAAGAAATCACCATGAAAAATTTATATATTGGATAAGATTAAATTCTGAGATCCTCACAAGCTACACTTTCAAAGGTTCCCTTATATTTTTTGCTAGGATAGTCTTACCTCTTGGAATGTAAAGGATATTTAATTATTCATATTAGAATGGAAAGCAGAAAAGGAGACAAATGGTGTTTCCTTCTAAAATATGCACAAAACATTTTAACCTACAGACTAACTGACCACGAAGGGATTGAAGAGTTTGAATTGTTAAAATAGAGTATTTTTTCAACTCCTTAAAAATACAGACCTATTGAATTAGAATCTCTAGAGTGGTGCTCAGAATGTGTATTTTGTGAACATATTTGGTGTCCACATTGGACACACTGATCTAGCCTCTTATCTCCTTTGGGCTTTGGGATCCTAACCAAGTGCATCTGAGATCTGAATTATTCAGTCAATGATCATTACAGATCGACTGCATAAACAAAGCTTAGGTTAGGATGAGACCAACCAAGTAGAATAGCAGTTTGATTTTCCTGTTTTGCTTTTACTTTGAAAATCACTAACATCTATCATTGCTGCTTTCAGTACCAGCTCTGGAAAATTTTGTTAAGTTTTATGAATCTCAAGTGAGAGTAGTTTAAAGAGCGTATCAGTCTAGCATGAGGTTCATAAATCTTGAGCTATTATCAGCAAGTAAGCTAGAGAGTTTGGATTGTGGTCTTATTCAAGTAGTTGAGGAATGGAGTCTGTGTACTTCATACCTTGGATTCATAGGGTATATCCTTTTCATAGAACAGAAACTTGTGGAATAATGAATATGCTCAGTATAACGTATTTTCCTCCTCTCTCTTCTACATTAGTGAAGTGATAGCTCTTACATGTAACTATAGAATTTAGATAAATTTTGATGATGATAAAAGTGAGCACAATCCAGAGTACTTACTAATTGATGTGCCATAAAATAATATGGAGCCAGAGAAGAGATTGAAGTGAGCCACTCAGATGGTGGTTCTTGAAAGGAAAGGAGCGACGCACAGCAGCAATTCACCGGAGAATTCCGCTTTATTAGGGAAAGGTGCTGGGTTATTTAGGAAGGGGCATAGGGTGATTGTGGTGTTACTTCTACGGGGCTGGTGGCTGTTGGCTAGGTGCTGGGATTGGGAGGGGGGTGAGAGGTGATTGGGCTTCAGGTGGCGCCGGCGGGAACCGAGGACCCCGAAGAGAAGCTGGAAGTTTGCCATCTTACTGGTGGGGACCCTTCAGTTCTTAAGCCATCACCCAGCCTCCCCTGGAGTACCACCTCTAGTCACTGGGACATACACCTACACCTAGGTTAGCCCATTCCATCTATTCAGAGTTAAAGCACAGAGTACATTGACAGTTTACCACAAACATGAGAATTGTTCAGGCAGAGCCACGTCATTTAAAGATGTTGAATCTAGCTGGGAGGTCAGTATGCTTTGCATTTCACTCTCAAGTACCAATGTATACGTGTTCCCTGAATGAAGACCCCTTCATATATGAAAAAGAGGCAGCATGTTTTAGGTTTAACACAGAAGCCTGTGCATCTTAAGGGCAACTTTATTCTTTGCCAAGCTGTTCGAACCCTGACTTGTGAGACATAGCTTTTGTCTTGTCCTTCAGTTTCTCTTGCCAGAAAATCAGGATATCAACAGACCTTTTCTAACAAAACAAATTAACATGTGAAAGCATGCCAGATTAGGCAGTTAGTAATTGAATGAATGTGTTAAATTGGTAGGGTTTTTTTAAAAATAATTTTTGTCTTGTTATATAAGTTCATTATCAAAAGTAAACAGTTAAATAAAAAGATTTTTATTTAAATAAAAATTAGTCAGAAACCATTATCCCAGAAGTAACCACTGTTTTATATTTCTGAGTCATATCCTTCTAGTGTATGAAAATGTATAGGTAGAGATTGTGGTGTAAACAACATCCAAACATTTTTTTAAGATGAGTTATGTAGCGTTGTATAGACATACCTGTCTCCCTGAAAAGCTTGTTAATGTGAAAAAGTAGCTATGATAATCATTAGTGTCAGGAAGGACAATCTTGATTATCTTTTTAAGTTCCAGGCTTTTTAAATTCCAACTCTAGACATAAACGTCTGCCCTTTCTTACATGATTTAAACAAATAGCAGAACCTAAGAGATGAGATGAGTTGATTTAAAATACTCTCACAGAGAAGTGGAATACTGATAAGGCAGTTGGTGTATTTATTAATGATATTCTTCATGCTGGATTTTTTATTTCTGTTGGGTTATCAGGTGGAAAATGGTTGGTTTCTGGTAACGTCCTGAATATCACCAGTGTAGCCTTTGATGACCGTGGGCTCTATACGTGTTTCGTCACCTCTCCAGTTCGTGCCTCCTATTCTGTCACTCTGTGTGTTATCTTCACCTCTGGAGACATGAGTGTCTATTACATGATTGTTTGCCTGATTGCCTTTACAATCACTCTCATCTTGAATGTCACACGGCTGTGCATGATGAGCAGCCATCTTCGTAAGACTGAGAAGGCTATCAACGAATTCTTTAGAACTGAGGGGGCCGAGAAACTTCAGAAGGCCTTTGAGATTGCAAAACGTATCCCCATCATCACCTCAGCCAAGACTCTGGAGCTTGCCAAAGTCACACAATTTAAGACGATGGAGTTTGCTCGTTATATTGAAGAACTGGCAAGAAGTGTCCCTCTTCCACCCCTTATTCTAAACTGTCGGGCCTTTGTGGAGGAGATGTTTGAGGCTGTGCGCGTGGATGACCCTGATGATATGGGAGAAAGAATTAAAGAGAGACCTGCCTTGAATGCACAAGGTAGCATCTATGTCATTAACCCAGAGATGGGCCGGAGTAATTCACCAGGAGATTCAGATGATGGGTCTCTGAATGAACAAGGCCAGGAGATAGCAGTTCAGGTTTCTGTTCACCTTCAGTCAGAGACCAAAAGTATTGATACAGATTCTCAAGACAGCAGCCATTTCAGCCCACCTGATGATACAGGACCTGCAGAACTGAACTCTCACTACAAAGATGGAGCATATGAAAGCTGCCAGCTGTGAGCTATCCCAGTACCTACAAACACAGCTCAAAAAAGAGAGGTGTTATTTCCTGAAATAACATCTATACCAAGAGATGCCTGGGTTTTTTCCCCTTGTGAATATTAAGTACATCAGAACATGAATTATTGCCAAAATCTATGTAAAAATTCAGCATTTATCCTATCTGATATTTCTCTTGAGCCTAATTAAATGACACATACTAAGATTTAAAGGAACCTGAGAGATAAACAACAGGGGAAGTACCACACTAAGAGTTCCCTGGCCTCTCTTCTGGCCATGGTTCTTCCATTGGTTAGGGCTGACACTTGGCTTGAGGCCTCAGTTTTACACCAATAAGATGAGGAATTTGCATCTGATGATATCCAAAGTCATTTCTAGCTCTATAGCTTCTTGCCTGTCACCTTTAAACCACCAAAATCTAAAGCACATCTTCTAAATAAACCCTTCCCTAGACTTGTAGTCCCTTTTTATGGAAGGGACCAAGCTGAGACTGAATTCATGATTTAGATTCCCACTCCAGTGCCATAGTTGCACAGAGATGCAGGAGGTGTTCATATGTTTTGCCTTGTATGACATACAATTTTATGTGGTAAGTTGAATCTTTTCAGTGTAGCCTATGTCTGTATTGTTATACAGATACCAGAGCTAACTGCTCATTAGTAAACCACTTTCCATAAGTAGATTGGTCCTTTTGGGGGATATATCATGTCTTTTTAACTTACTGAGGCATTATTTAGTTCATTGAGCTGGCAGTGATTTCCCAGCTGATCTACAAAAGAGCAATTTGTTGCTAAGGAATAATGCCTTCAATGCTTTTAGAATAAACAGTGTCAAATCATCTGTCTCTGGTAAATCATGAATTTTGACATTTCTGGTAATAGAATTTCTCAGGCTTTCGCTTTTTAAAAGTACTAGACTCTCAGAGGGTTGTGTTTGGGATCCCATTCCAGGCAGAAAATAACAGGACTGCATTCCTCTTCAGACCTCTGTCAACAGTCTTGTTCTCCATGGTCTTAAATATGGTGCTAAAGGCTGCATGCCTCCTTATCTTGTTTGCTTTGTTTATATTTTATTGTTACTGAAGTTTTTATTTTTCTATATTTCAGATACAAAATTCTGAGTTAGGCCTGCTTTTGCAGCCTTTCTGAGAAGGATTAACCTGGAATAAGATTAGATAATGGTGTGTGCTGTATGTTACTATGTTAAATATGTAGATACAGATATAGATAGAGATGTATATACACAGAAATGATCTAGACATGAAGAGGAAGAAAACTTATGGGTGGTGCCATCTGATTCAACTAAACACATAAGACAGTATTTCTTGCCTGGCTAAGATTTGGTACAATAGAATTGTAAATACTCTTCAGAATTATTTCTTTAGCAACAGGAACCTGGGTGTCTATAATTTTAAGAACTTGGCAATGGAGCTCCATTTGGTGTTTCATGTTTCTTCATTTGGTTTCTGATTATTGAAGCTTTCCTTGAACTAGAGGTTCCTGCAGGAAATGTTCAGAGGAGGTTTTATCAGGATTTTAATTTAAGATCTCAAATGGAGGAAGGCAGGAAATTCAGAGAGGAACCAGACGGAACTCCTGCCTCCTTTTGTCCAGGCTTATCAGGCATAATACATCTGCTCTGGATAGCATGAATGAATCAAAGTGCAGCTTTGTCAGATGGTGTTAAGGATTAAGAAGATACGCTGCCTTTTCTGTCTCAGGCTGTTTCCATGGAAACCTCCAAAGTGAAACAAAACCTACCAATCATTTAGCCAAAGCTTGCTATATACACAGACCTGTATTTCTTTAAGGAAAACTGTTTGCATACGTTTGGCTTTGAGAGCAAGGGCTCTTGAACATACATACTTGGGTTATAGAACACTTTCCCTTCCCAGAATGTTTCTCTTGAAAAATGTTTTTTTTATTTTAAAAATTCAGTGTTTGAGATCTGTCCCTGAAGAGCCCTCAGATCTTCAGATAGTACAGCCTCATCCCAGTATAGCAACCTTGGGGTCATTTCTTTGAATGTAGCTTGTCACATTAATGGGAAAAGATTTACTCCACATCTTTTCACAGTGAACATGAGTGTTTGAAATCTTAAGGTAAACATTTAATGATCAGCATCTTGGGAAATAGAACTTTGGAAAAACAGGAAATACTGAAAAAAAAACATGTTTACACAATACTGTATAACAAGTATTGGTTACTGAGTGTATCCTGGATAAGTTATTTTGGAAACATAAATGTAACTTGGTCACCAAAGTAACTGGATTACTTTGAATATTCCAGGTTATAGTGCTGTTGATAAGGAATTAAAGTATGTCAAAATTTAATTGGAGTTGGTATTAGTTTCTGAAGCTAGTTTTCAAGAGGTAGGAAATCACACTTAGTATTTTCTGTGTCTAATCAAGTATTCTTATGTATAATTAATAGTTTGTTATCTTTTTGTAAAATCTTAACCTTTTGAACTTAAACTAGTCTACAAGTCTTCACTGTGGTGTAATTATCCTTTTGTCTCACTGGATTTTATAGTTAGTGAAAATGTCTTTACTGAACAAAATGTGTTCGATATAGTTCTGTCATCACATTTATAAATTTTGTCTTTATCCTTATAAAATGAAATGGTGGCTCTGTGAAATAAATCTTCCAAAAGTAGACATGTGAACATTTTTGTTGATTCCTTACTAGCTGAAACCAGACAGATGGGCATCTTTTGAGCTGATACCCCACTTGAGTTCATAGGCAGTTTGATAAGCCCATCCTCAAAGTTGCATCTGTTAATGATAGTTTAATTCTTGAGTCCAGCCCAGTGAATATTTGTATTTCCTACCAACTCCCTTGATATAAATATCTCAGGAGTTGCTGGCCTGGAATAGTTGTGAGAAGCTCCTGGCTTCTTTGCCCCACTAAACATGTATTTTAAAGGCAAAGCACACTACTCTCGCTTTGGTTCTCCAGCCTCAGTGGACCCTGTGACGCCATGCTCTTCACATCCTGTGTGCAGTTTCAGCCTAGATCAGACTTCTTCTCCCATGTCCCAGAGCGGCATGGGAGCATGGCCTGCTCATTCTCCAGAGTGCAGCCGGTCATGGGTGCTAACCTTATCTCCACACACCAGCAGCTGTGATACAGAGTACCATATTTCCTGAGTGACCAGTAAGAGAATAGTCTTTCTCATCTAGGCTGGGAATGTTGAAAATGCTCAGCCTTATACAAAAAAAAGCCTAGGTTCTCAACACATTTCTTGAAAGTAAGTGAGTATTAATTCGGTATGCTTCAGATGATGTTTAAATGGTCACTTATAATAATGAATACTTACATTATAATTTGTCTTTTAAAAAACAGTACTTGAATGTAACATTAAATGTTCAATGGAGAATATTTCATTTGTCTGAAATCTTTACTATAGAGTATATATATTCATTTTTACATGTGATGGAATTTGATGTTAATGATTTTAAACAGGTAAATTTGAATTCAACTTGGATTCCACTATGGCTACCCACTTCAGCTTTGCGAATATATACTAGGTATCCATATGCTTTTGGTGCTATGAACAATACTGAGATGGGTGTCCTGTCTGCAGTTATCATGAGTGCAATTACCAGACCATCCCTAAGTGGAGTATTTTCGACTTCTGAAGTAAAACATTCCAGGCAAAGGCAAGAGCGGGAGCAAAGGCCTAGAGATAAAAGGATTTAGCACGTGTTTTGAAGAACATGTGATTAGTATGTCATTTGGGGTGAGATTTGGCAGTTGGGAAGGGGTCAGCTGTGGTAGACACGACATTTGCAGTTCCATGGGAGTGGAGAGTGAACATGGAGAGCAGGCATGGAAAAGCGCAGGATGTCAGGAGACAGGCAAAGGAAACAGGTGTGACTCATTTAAATACCACAGACTCCTTAGAATGAAAACCTAGCCCCAATCTCCCTATGGCAAAAGATCACAACTTGAGTCCTGATTCCACCAATAACCATGCAACCATGGGAGTTGGCCTCTCTAGACTTCAGTGAAATGGAGTTGATAATGCCTACCCCACAAAATTAATAGGGTTAAATACAGCAACAGGTGAGTAAACACTCTTCCTGCTGTAACATTGCTGTACAGTGTAAGGGATGAGTAACCATGCAGCCTCAGTGTCAGCAGCTGTGTCCCGCTGACTGACTGCATTTGGACTCAACTAGATTCTAAAGATCTCTCTGTTACAATTGCATTTGGCTGCATGCCTTAGAAACCCAACTGTGGTGTCTACCCATGCAAGGGCTTTGTTTTTGTCAAGAAGTCCAGAGGAAGTCGGTCCAGGGATCGTGCATGAGCTCAAGTCTGGCATCAAGGCCTTAGGCTCCTTCTAGATTCCTCTCCACCCTGACTTTGTATGTGATTTTCATCCCCATGGTCACAAGATGTCTTGGACTGGGTTTCCCTAAGAGTCCCTGAGACAAGAATTTGTTCCCAAGTAGTTTATTTGAAAGGTCATCTCAGAAGGGTAGGAGGCTAGGGAAGTGAGACAGTATATATAGTTCATGTCTCAAAGCTGTTGCTTTATATCACTTCTTGAGGAAATCCTTCAGAGCTATGTAGCTCTGCCCCCCAGTGTATGTAGCTCATGGCTCAAAGTTGCCCCATCCAGAGGCCACAGAGCTCAGATATTTATGTGCCAACTCCCATTATTACTGAGGGCTGCTCCCAGGCTCACTAATTCTGGCATTTCCAACCTGCCACACACAGACTAAGCATGATGCTGTAGCCCGCAAAAGCCCTCAGGCAGAGTCGGGAGCTTTCAGTAGGAAACCTGCAGTGAATATAGAAGTGGTGAGTGTCAAGGGGTTATGGGCAGAGCAATGACAGCTGCACTCTATAGGTCCAAGCACCTGCTACCCAGGGCAACTCTGACCTTCAGCATCGTGTCTGCATTCCAGGCAGGGGGAAGGGTAGATGGTCAAAGGGCAAAAGACATGCAGCAGCTGAGTCTGTATCTTTTTGTCAAGATACAGCTTTCCCAAAGCCTCACGCAATTTCTGCTGTTCAGCTGCCAGGACTGGGTTTCCTGGCTACCTGCTGCAGCTATAAGAAAGCCTGGGAGATAAGTATGAGTATTTTTTTAACTGGACACATTGCCCCAGAATGTTCTATTATTAAGAGAGTAGGGAAGAATGGAAGTTGGAGGCAATGAATAATGTGCAATCATCACATGAATTACAGGAGCAAAATGTGATTCTGTAGTGGGTAAAATTGCAAACTATGTTCCATGGAAATATTCACATGTGTGAAAAAAGCAAGAATCAGAAGCAATAAACCTTCGGTTAAATCTTCAGGCCATCAGTTTTATTATCTCCAATATACGTGGTTCAAACAGCAGACAAGTTACGGGATTCTGCTGAGGAATAATTGGCTTATCAATCTGTTTGTTTAATAGCAGGTACTTACCACATGCAAAGTGTCAGGTGCTTCCAGGGGCCAGGAACTCCACAGTAACTGGCAGGTGTTATCAGGGAAGCCTCTTGAAAGAAGACATTGTGCTGAGCCCCAAATGTTGCAGATTGAAATACTCACAGGTTAGGGCAAAGGGCACTCCAAACAGGGAAACAAGCAATGACAAAGTCCCTAGGGGACCACAAGGTTGGCATGTTGGAGATATAGAAGAAATTGGCCTGTGTGGCTAGTGAAGGGAGACAGAGAAGCAGGTAAGGGGCCAGAAATATGGTGAAAAGATTTCAAAGCGCAATTTAGCTGGCCTCAGAAACGCTTTTTGTAAAAGAAATGCTGGAAGTACCTGATTAAAAAGAAGAGAGTTACATATTTAGGGAGTGATGTTTGATTATTCAGTAGTCCTTGTTTTATCCTGAAGTCATCTGCTGCATAAAAAAAAAAATTGTGCTGATTTTTGTTAAAAAATTAAACTCCTTCAGGGCCCCTTGAATTCCAATCATGTTCTTGAGTTTTCATGTTTTTGCTGGAATCTATTGATTAGGAAATATATATGTAAATATACATATGTTGCTCCATCTGCCTAGAAGATCAGTGACTGCTGCCAGCGTGCATCTTATTCTTCCTGACAGTTGGAAACACTCTGCTTTCCCTCCTGCTCAGCTGTGCAAAAGGGAGAATTCAAGTGTCCTGAGTGATGATAAATCAGCCTTCTGAGGAGCCTCCTTCTGATAGAAGATCTGCCCTCTGGGAAATAGTTTGTCCCTAAGCAGAAGAGAAGTTCATCAGGAGGAGCTCCCTCTGTGGAGTAGTTTTGCCATTTGCATTTCATTGCTCTTACCGAAACTGCAGGCAGACAGTTGGACCATGCCTGAGGCTGCTCTGCTCAAGCCCCTTGACCCCTGAATACTTAAGGCCATGCCTATTCATTTGATTTTTCACAACCTAGGAATGCTACCATAAACAAGAGGCTCTTTGGGAACTTATACCCTGTGGGAAGGCGAATCCTATTCAAACAGTCACACAAGGGTTTTATAAGGAAAAACTGAGAAGTGTGCTAGAAAATGTTCTATGAGAGAGCCTAGAACAAAGGAAAATGATCCAATCGGAAGTCAGAGAAGAATTCCCTGCAGAAGAGACATTTGAAGCGGCAGGTATTTGACATGTTCCTATCCCTGAGCCATAGACTGTGGACTTAAGTTATGGATCCTGCTTGGAAGGAATGCATAGACCAGTTGAAAAAGTAAAATGTTCCTAAAATAAACCAACTGGAAGAGACAGTGCTGTCATCAAGTGCTAAATGTATTAGTACTAGGTAAAATACCCAGAAGGACTTAAAAGAAGTGAAGTGAGTGGTAGCAGAGGGTAAGAAATATTTTGTGAATGGGATGACATTTGATCTTATCTGAAAATGAATAAACCAGGGATGGGAAGGAAAGGCATTAATCTGATCATGGAACTCAGAAGTCTTCAGTGGTATCTTGTTATCTAAGCAGAAAGATAAAATCTAATTTCTTGATCCTCCCTGACATAAGTCCTCCCAAGCTTATGTTTGGAGGCCCCGCCACTCCCCTTTCTACCTTTTATATTATAAGTGCTCTTTTCTTATCAATTTGTGGGCAACTTGAGAGATGGCATCATTAGTCACCTATTCATTAGTGTAACACCTTTCATATAGAAGAGACAGCACTTATTTGTGGAATATAAAAACAAAGCCAAACAAGGAACAGCATTAGATTCATAAACACTGAGAAGTGACTAGTGGTTACCAAGGCAGTGGCGGGGGACTGTTGAACCACTGTGATGTATACTTGATAATAAAATTAAAAAAAAGAGAGACAGCAAATGTTTGTTTCATGGGATGGGAGGGGTGACAGTGTTGTGACACTGTATATGATCATGACCATTGGTCAATGTGGGACTTAGGGATGAGGGTTTGGGAGGTGTGGCTGCCCCTTCTCCAACAGCACTCTCTTCCTGGTGACATCACCCACTTTCAAAGTTTTAAATACCATCTTCACTGGTGACTCCCAAATGTATATTTTCAGCTCTAAATGCTCTCTTCCACACTTGTGGATCTAACACCTCTCTACTTGGCATTTCCGCTTGGCCAGGCATCTCTAAAAAGCATCTCAAAATTAATATGTCCAAAACAGAATTTTTGATTCCCTACCCTAATAACAAAAGAATAATCAGTTTCTATACTTGTTTGAATACTTCTCTCAATAAATACACCAT